TTCTTATTAATAACAATAGAAAGATATTTAAAACATGACTTATCCAAATACTCTTTGACCTAGCTAGTAACATTCCTAAGTGTGCTAGAAAATGAACTATTTTTAAATATGTGTTTTTATCATAAGAATTGATGAAAATCAAGACCAAATTAAATGACACCCCTATATAACACAAGGGGAGGGGTATAATCTGGAACTACTTTATTATCATATTTCTTAGCCAGAACATAATCTTATCATAACTGAGTTTTCATTATTTTAAATGCAGACCCTAACAATGTCCTTCTAGTAAAAGTTCTCAAGTGTTTTCTCACTGGTTTAGTTGTTATTTTATTTCAAATCATAAAAGTTGTGAAAAGAAAGGAAATCTGTGTTGTTATAGCTTTCAAATGGAATTGCAGGAGTTTCTTTTTAGAGGAATAGGTGTCATTTATTTGAGAAATATGGTTCATGAAACTCAAGTACAGCTGGCAGTGAAGGGAATTGGATTAGAGATGAGCAGTGAAGTTTTCCCCACTCCCTCTATATTCCTGGAAGCAGCACCACAGTGAGGGTGCAGATATTTTCTGGAAATGCACAATACACCTGGGCATGAAATATTGTCCTTTTTATGTGCCAAACATAAAAAACAACAACAAACTCTAACATTTAAAAAGAAACAAAACTTTTTTCTGTCTGAAAGAATTAAAGGTTTGTGGTTCTTTATTGAACAACTCTGTGCCTTTGCTGCTTGAGAGATCTGTAAAATTAAATAACATAGACACTACAAAATACAAGCTAAAGTGATGAATATAAATGAAGCAGGATAATTCATTCAGATGTTATTTTGCATTTAATATTTTAGAGTCTCTCTCTCTCAATACGTTAGCCATAACTTTGCATTTCTTTCTCTGAGGGAATTTTGCTGTTCTAATATCAGAAGCTGGTGCAAGTCAGTAATTCTTCTTGTGATTTGTAATAGCTTAAAGTGACTAAACTCAATATACTAGAATGTTTAAAGAGTAACAGGAAAACAAGGTGTGCTTTTCAGAGGAGCAGCGATAGAGAAAAAATCTCAGGGAGAGGGCACCTGCTAAAAATCATTCAGTACTGGCTTTTTGGAGAGTGGCAAAGGCCTCTGGGAAGCTGTGCGAGTGGTGTCCCAGGGCCTTCAGCATTAAAGTGTCTTACCTTGCCAATGTTCCCAGCCTCCAAGTTTGATGTGAGAGCTAGGATGTTAGGCATCCACAGGGTAACCAGGGTAGCCAACCAGCGCAATGCTTTGACAATGCAACAAGCATCATTAGAAGAAGTGATACTTGGCCATGTTCTGTTATTGAATAAAGATCTGAGTGATACACAAAATAAGTCTACACATAGAATCATTATAATAAAATGAAAAACAGTGTGTTAGTTTCCTACTACTGAAGCTATAACAAAGTAATATAAGTTTAGTAGCATAAAACAACCCAAATTAATTTTCTTACAGTTCAGAAGGTCAGAACTCTGAAATGGGTCTCACTGGGTTAAACCCAAAATTGACAGAACTGCATTACTTCTGGAGGCTCCAATGGGAGAATTGATGTCCTTGATTTTGTGAGTTTGTAGAGATTACCATTAATTAGCATCGCTTGGGTAGTGACCCACCCCTGCCTTCTTTAAAGCAAAATTCCAACCACTCCCACCTGATTTCCTTGTCATGTCTCCTCTGACCCTGGCTCTCCTACCTCCCTCTTTGATTTGTAAAGTCCCATGCAGTTACATTGGGTGCAACCAGATTATCCAGGATAATCTCCTTCTCCCTAGCTCTTGATCCTTAACACCCTGGCAACTACAAAGACCCTTTTTTGTTTTATAAGAATGTATTCACCAATTCCAGAGGCTAAAATTAGGGCTTTTTATTGGGTAGAGAGGCAGCATTATACTGCCTACCACAGGATCTTTTTTTTTTCTTTTTCTAAGTGATCAGAAAAATTGAATAGTTTGCTTTAAAAGAAAAAAAAATAAAGATATAGATAGATAGATTTTAGCCAATGATTTCTCTCTCATTCATTTTGTTCTTTAACTAGAGGTCTGATTCATGAAATTCTTACAAGAGCAGGCCATTCTTCCACTGGCTGCTGGCACCAGTTTCTCTCTGGCACCCACAACCCGGGCTTCCCTCCCAGCAAGCACCTGGGACCCAGGCTTCCCTCACAGCCCTGGTTTTATCCAGAAGAACGTCCTGTCTAATTAGCATATTATGTTTTTATTATTATAGATAAACAAACTACATATCTATATAACAAAAAGACCATAGAAAACATTTAATAGCTGAGTCCATGAGAACCATATCAGACTATTGTAGAGGGATTTAATAGGGACTTAGGTCAATACAGTAAAGGTTACCTCCATCAATTGTTCTAAAGTATATTTGGCCCTAGAAATGGAATATATTTGGGACTGAGAGAGAGAAAAAAAATTCCACAATATTCTTTAAATGCAATGTCTTCAGGAATGCCCATCTCCAGGCACAAGATGGGAAAGCTCAAAGAGAACAACAGTAAGGCCTTAAGAATGGGTGCTATGTCCTAACCAGTTTGACCTAGTGGATAGAGCATTGACTTGTGAACTGAAAGGTCCCAGGTTCTATTCTGGTCAAGGGCATGTACCTTGGTTTTGGGCACATCCCCAGTAGGGGTTGTACAGGAGGCAGCTGAATCGGTGTATCTCTCTCCTCAATGTTTCTAACTCTCTATTTCTCTCCCTCTCTCTTACAATATTTTATTGTAAAAAAACAATAAAATGGTTTTTTTTTTTTAAATAATGGGTGCTCATTGGTTAGTAGTTCTAGAGATATGGTCTCCAAAGCAGCAAAATGCCAGAGAACTAGTGAAGTAACTCAACAGCAGAGGTGCCAAGTGAATGAATGAAAGATTTACCAACCAATTATGTAATCATATTCTGTCCTCAGAAATCAATTTTAAAAAGCTCTCTAATAAAGAATAGACTACTGAAGAGTAAGGGTGAGAGATCATAATCTTTTCAGTTTAAATATTTTAAATGATGTGGCTTTGAATAGCAACTTTGGAGATAAATTTTTAAAATCTTAACATTTTAAATGTGGTAAAATGTGACCCAGGATTTCTGTCCTATTTTACTTTGGGAAGTCCATGGACACTCATTTTCAAGAATGTTCATAGCAATGGAAGGAGATATGACTTGAGGTGGAGAACATACAATATAATATACAGATAATATTGATAGAACCGTACATTTGAAATCTATGTAATTTATTAACCAATGTCATCTCACTAAATTCAATTTTAAAAAGAATGTTCTTTGCAGTAATATAATAATAAGGATATAATGGAAATAAGCAAAATATTTACACAAAGAGAAGAAATAATATATTTAGGTATATTTTACTAATAAAAATTATACAGAATTAAAATGAATAAAGAATCCTATATAATAAAAACCTAATATGCTAAGTGCCCGGTTGCCCAGTTGTCAATCAAAGCATAAGATGCTTATGATATGCTAAGGCCGCTCAACTGCTCACTATGACTTGCACTGATTGCCAGGGGGCAGACAGTTGACTGTTTGACCAGTCACTATGGTGTGTACTGACCACCATGGGGCAAATGTTCTGACAGGTAAATTGGCTTCCTGTTGAGGTCTGGCTGATCAGGACTGAATGAGATGGGCTAGACAAGCCCTGGAGCACTCCTGTGGTTCTTCCCTGGCTGGCCAACCTCCTGTGTCTCTCCCTAGCCCCAATCTTACACTGGTGAGGTCCCTCAATCTGGCCTGCACCCTCTCACAATCCGGGCTAAGAGGTCCATTCTCCCCCACCCCCACCTTTACTTGTGGTAAATAAATAATAAAAATAAATAAATGATGGAACTATTTTTAAATAAATAAATTGGAGATGGTGAAATAACTATGAAACAATATACATTAAGTCCGACTTGATGTAACCTGAGGACTGCCTGTATATGTATTTTAAAATATATATAAAAAGCCAGAGACTGTAACCGTTATAACAACCATAATGACTAATCTCTATGTCACTGTGGCCCACAAACCAGCCTGATCAGAAGGTGGGCTGGATGGCCAACATCATGCCCCCTGCCTGCCTGCCCCTGATTAAACTCTCCCACCCCAATCAAAAATAATTCAAAATAAGGGGCATACAGTTTATAAACCAGATGGATGAAAAAAATCAACAACTTATGAAATAGTCAAGAGGAAATGAAGAGAGATAAAGCTACAGTAAAAAACACTATGGAAATTTTCAACAATAGACTAGGAGAAGCAAAAGACTGAATTAGTGAATTAGAAGACAGGATAGCAAAACATACACACAAACTGAACTGCAATTGGAGGGGAAAAAATTAAAAATAGGAGGAGAGCCTAAGGGAGCTTTGCAACAACAGGAAATGAAGCAACATAAGACTAATAGGAGTGCCAAAACAATAAGAAGAGGAACAAGGGTTAGAAAACCTATCTGAATAAATTATGTCAGAAAGATCCCCTGACTTGGGAAAGAAAAAAGTCACATCAGCACAGAGTCCCAAATAAATGAACCAAAGGGAAAAAAAAACAAAAAAAAAGAAAGAAAAAAAAAACAAATCAAGACATGTTGTAATTATGATAACAAATGTACAAGACAAAAAGAGAATCCTAAAAGCTGCAAGAGAGAGACAGAAAGTTACATACAAGGGATCTCATACTAGATTATCAAATGATTTCTCAACAGAAGCACATCAAGCCAGAAAGGAATGGAAGAAAGTTTACCAAATGATGCAAAGAAAGGGACTGAATACAAGAATACTCTATTCAGCAAGGCTATCATTCAAATTTGAAGGGGAAATAATGAGCTTCACAGGAAAAAAAAACACAAAAAAACCCTAAGGGATTTTACTAATACCAAACTAGCAATGTAAGAAATGCTAAAGGGACTGGTATAAAATGAAGAAATAAAAAGGGAAGAAAGAACACAGGCGTGAAATTTTAAAATAGCTACACACAAGTACTATCAATAATAACTTTAAACATAAAAGGACTAAATGCTTCAGTCAAAAGACAGTGAGTGGCTGAATGGATAAGAAGCAATGACCCATATATATGCTGTCTACAAGAGACCCACCTCAGAACAAAGGACTCAAAGAGACTGAAAGTGAAGGTGCTGAGAGCCAGTTCCACCATGTCATAATTACAAGAGTTTCATCAAAAGGCTGATGAAGCTTGGGTGCTCAACAAGGGCTGAGCCACATATGTAATCATCTGTTGGAATGGCTAAAAAGCATCTCCCCCAAACCTGAATAGGATAATCATTTGCTGCCAGACAACTCATGCATCTTAATCTACATGTTATTGCCTCCTGTTGGCCAAACACCTGAACAGCTGTAGGCTATTCCCCAATCTGACAATGCTTCTATAAACCCTACCATTTGAAACCCTATCCTTTGAAGTATATCATCTCCACCTTGCCTTAGGACAAATTGTGTTAATAAAAAGCATGGGGTCCTGAGACAAAGGAGTCTTTAGCTCCTTAAGCTGAAGCTCCTCTGCCCCCCCCCCCCCCCAAAGCCTTTCAAAATTCTCTCGTGTCTTTGGATTCCTACTTCAGCTATGCACAGCCTTTCTCTGGATAGCTGAACCCCTTGTAATGCTGGGACAAGAATCCTGAAATGAAGGGATGGAAAAAATGTATTTTAGGCTAAAAGAAAAGAGAAAAAAAGCAGGGGTATCAATACTTATATCTGACAAAATAGAACTCAAAGTTAAGGCCATTACAAGAGATAAGGACGGCCACTTCATAATACTAAAGGGAGCCATTCAACAAGAAGATATAACTCTGGTAAAGATATATGCATCCAATGCAGGAGCACACAAATGCATAAAAAAAAAAAAAAGTCCTGGTAATAGTAAGGGAAACATCAACAACAACAAAGTCATAGAAGGGGACTTTACCAATCCACTGACATTATTGAATAAATCCCCTAGACAAATAAATCAGCAAAGAAATAGCAAACCTAAAAAACTCACTAAATCATATAAACTTAATTGACATCTACAGAACATTTCACCCCAAAGCTACAGACTATACATTCTTCTCAAGTTGCACATGGGAGATTTTCAAAGATAGATCACACATTAGGACCTGGCAAAGTCTCTTCAAATTCAAGAAGATAGAAATCATAACAAGCATTTTCTCAGATCACAATGGCATAAAATTACAAAATAACTACAATAAAAACAATGAAAAAAAAAATCAAACACTTGAAGGCTAAATAGAAAGCTATAAAACAATGACTTGGTTACTAAAGAGATAGAAGAAAAAGTTAAAAATATCTGGGAAATGATGAGAATGAAAACACAACAATCCAAAATCTATGGAACATAGTGAAAACAGTCCTGGGAGGGAAGTTCATAGCATTACAGGCCTACTTCAATAAACAAGAAAAATGATAATAAATTATCTCTACAATTTAAAGAATTAGAAAGAGAGCAACAAGAAAAGCTCAGAGTGAGGAAAAGGAAGGATATCATAGCAGAAATAAATGCCACAGAGACCAAAAAACAAAACAAAAACAAAAACAAAAAACAAAAAACAAAACAAAACAAAACAAAACAAAAAATCAAGGAAGTCAAGAGCTGTTTCTTTGAAAAGACAAACAAAATTTATGAAGCTCTAGCCAGGCTCCCAAAAAGAAAAGAGAGAACACCCAAATAAACAAAATCTGAAATGAAAGAGATGAAATAAAAACAGACCCCACAGAAATACAAAGGCTTGAAAAAAATACTATGAAAAATTATATTTCAACAAACTAGACAACTTAGAGGAAATGGACATATTCTTAAAAAAAAATACAACCTTCATAACTCAATGAATAAGAATAAAAAAATTGCCAAGACCAGTTTGGCTCAGTAGATAGAGCGTCAGCCTGAGGACTGAAAGGTTCCAGGTTTGATTCCAGTCAAGGGCATGTACTTTGGTTGCAGGCACACCCTCCAGTAGTGGGTGTGCAGGAGGCAGCTGATCAATGATTCTCTATCATCGATGTTTCTAACTCTCTATCCCTCCTCCCTTCCTTTCTGTTAAAAATCAATAAAATATATATTTTTTAAAAAGAATAAGAAAATCTTAGTAGGACCATAACTATGGAGAAAATTGTAGCAGTCATCAAAAAGCTTCCAGCAAACAAAAGCCCAGGGCCAGTCAGCTTCAAAAAGAAGTTTTAAGAAAACATTCAAAGAAGAACTAACACCTATCTTCCTCAGACTATTCCAAAAAATTCAAGAGGAAGGAACATTTCTAAGCTCATTCTATGAAGCCAGCATTACCCTCACACCAAAAACAGATAAAGACAACACAAAGAATGAGAATTACAGGCCAACATCCCTCATGAGCAGAGATGCCAAAATCCTTAACAAAATTCTAGCAAATCGGACCCAGCAGTTTATCAGAAAAATCATACACCATAACCAAGTAGGATTTATCCTGTAGATGTAAGGCTGGCACAATATCTGCAAATCAATAAACATGATACATCACATAAACAATTTGAAAAATAAAAATCACATGGGCATATCAATTGATGCAGAAAACACATTTGACAAAATCCAACATCCTTTCTTGATAAAAACTCTCAGCAAAGTGTGAATGGAGGGATCATACCTCAACATAATAGCCTTATATGACAAACCCACAACCAACATCATACTCAATGGGCAAAAACTGAAACAATTTCACCTACAAACAAGAATGAGACAGGGTTGCCCACTTTCATCACTCCTGTTTGACATAGTACTGGAAGTGCTAATCATAGTGATTAGATAAGAAGAATTAATAAAAGGCACCCAAATTAGAAAAGAAGTAAAACTCTTACTATTCACATATGACATGATATTGTACATAGAAAACCCTAAAGACTCTATCAAAAAAATTATTAAACTTAAATGAATTTGGCAATCTAGAAGGATACAAAATTAATGCTCATAAATCTATGGCATTTTTATATGCTAATGGTGAATTTATAGAAAGAGATTTTAAAAATCCCATTTACCATTGCACCTAAATACTAAGATACCTAGGAATAAACTTAACTAAGGAGGAAATATACCTGTACTCAGAAAAATTACAGGACACTGAAAAAAGAGATAGAGGAAGACATACACAGGTGGAAGAACCTACTGTTTTCATGGATTGGTAGAATCAACATCGTTAAAATGTCCATACTACCCAAAGCAATCTGCAGATTTCATGCACTCCCCATTCAAATACCAATGACATATTTCACAGAACTAGAAAGAACTCTCCAAAAATTCATCTGGAACAACAACAACAACAAAAAAGACCCAAAAGAGCTACAGTAATCCTGAGAAAGAAGATAAAGTAGGAGGGATAAATACCAGATATCAAGCTGTATTACAAAGCCACTGTTCTCAAAACAGCCTGGTACTCATACAAGAAAAGACATATAGACCAATGGAATAGAACAAAGAATCCAGAAATAGACCCCAACCACTATGCTCAATTAATATTTGACAAAGGAGGCATGAGCATACATTGGGGTTAAGACAATCACTTCAATAAATGGTTTTGGGAAAATTGGACAGATAAATTAAAAAAAAATTAAAGTAGATCACCAACTTACATTATATGCAAAATACACTCAAATTGGATAAAGGACTTATACATGAGATGGGAATCCATAAAAATACTAGAGGAATCCACAAGCAGCAAAATCTCAGATGTATGCCAAACCAATATCTTCACCAATACAGAGCCTAGAGCAATGGAAACTGAGGAGAAAATAAACAAATGGAACTCATCAAAATAAAAAAAAAAAGTTTCTGAACAGCAAAAGAAACCATTAACAAAATAACAAGAAAGCCCACTGCATGGGAGAACATATTTGCCAATGCTATCTCTGATATGGGTTTAATCTCCAACATTTACAGGGAACTCATACAACTTAACAAAGGAAGATAAACAATTCAATCAAAAAATGGGCAAAAAAACTAAATAGATACTTTTTGAAAGAGAATGTACAGAAGGCCAAAAATCATTTGAAAACGTGCTCAAAGTCACTAATTATCCAAGATTTACAAGTCAAAAGACAATGAGATACCATCTCATACCTGTCAGAATGGCTATGATCAACAAATCAACCAATGACTAGTGCTGTTGAGAATGTAGAGAAAAGGAACACTGGCGCACTGCTGATGGGAATGTAGACTGGTGCAGCTACTGTAGAGAAACCTATGGAATTTCCTCAAAAAACCTAAAATTGGAACTCCTATTTTATTTGGTGATTCCACTTCTAGAAATATATCCCAAGAAACTAGAAGATATATGCAAAAAGATATATGCAACTTTAAGTTCATAGCCGTGCAATTTACCATACCTAAGATTTGGAAACAGCCCGTGCCCATCTATAGTGGATTAACAACTGTGGTACATCTACACAGTGGAATACTATATTGCTGTAAAAAGGAAGGAACTCCTAAAGAGAATTATGCTAAGTGAAATAGAGAAAAATGAAAAATCTCACTCATTTGTGGGATATAATGAACAACATAAATTAACAAAAACAGACCCAGAGACAGAGAAGCATGAATTAGACCCTCATACCTCAGAGGGAAGGCAGGGGAGGGTGGGGAGAAAGGCGGGGATATCAACCAAAGGACTTGTATGCATGTATATAAGCATAATCAATGGACGCAGATACTAAAGGGTTGAAGGCATGAGCAGTAGGGGTGGGGGGCAATGGGGGATAAGGACATATATGTAATACCTTAATCAATAAAGAAAAAAATTAAACACACACACACACACACACACACACACACACACACACACGAAAGAACTCTTACCATTTTCAACAGTATGGATGGATCTGTAGAACATTAGGCTGAATGAAATAAGCCAGTCAGAGAAAGTTAAGTATCACATGATCTCACTCATTTGTGGAATCTAATAAACCAAATAAACTGATGATCAAAAATAGACTCAGAATTGAAACCGGTTTGGCTCAGTGGATAGAGCGTCGGCTTGTGGACTGAGGGGTCCCAGATTCAATTCCGGTGAAGGGCATGTACCTTGATTGCGGGCACATTCCCAGTGGGGGTAGTGCAAGAGGCAGCTGATAGATGATTCTCTCTCGTTGACGTTTCTAGCTCTCTATCCCTCTCTTTCTCTCTGTAAAAAACCAATAAAATATATTTTTAAAAAATAGACTCAGAGGCATAGAAGCATGAACAGATTGTTGAACCTCAGCAGGAGGGGAAAGAAGGGTGAGTGGAAAGAGATCAACCAACTAACTTATACATATATGCATGTATGCATAATTTGTGGACACAGACAATGGAGTGGTGAGGGCCTGGGAGTCAGGAGAGATGGGAGTGGGCTGGAGGAATTTAATGGGGAAAAAGGAGGACCTATATAATAGTTGTTATCAATAAGGATTTAAAAAAAAAAAAAGGAAACACACACACACACACACACCAAAAAACTACCAATTGTGACAGCAATTTGTGATTTAATATACCAAGAAGGAGAGATTGGGCTAATTGGTTAGCATTATTTATTGTTTTGATCATTTGAAATGCTTCCATATTTATAAAAAAAAAAAAAAAAAGGTAAGTAATTTTGCAACCAAATCAGAAATTAAAATGGTATGGACACAACTTCTGCTTTCAGACAAGATTAAGTGAGCAGTAG